GCATTAAACCCTCAAGCACGAGGTTTTTCAAGAAAAACAATTAAACGAGAAATTATTCGTCAGTATAAAACTGGAAAAATAAATTTGGCAAATTTTTTTCTCAATTTTAATTCTCGTGTTGCTATTTGTTCTGATATTTGGAGTGAAACTTATCATAATTTGTCTTATATGGGTGTTACTTGTCATTGGATAGATAGTGATTGGATTATGCATAAACGTATTCTTGCATTTCGTGATTTCAATGAACAGCATAATGCTGAAAATATTTTCCTATTGCTTCAGAGTATTCTGCGGGAATACAACTTATCTGACAAAGTATTTTCATTTGGTTTTGATAATGCTACTAATAATACTGCAGCTATTCCTAGACTTAGAGAAATTTGCCCACCATCTACGTCTATGGGTAGATTTCTGCATCAACGGCGTGCCTGTCATGTTTTAAATTTATGTGTTCAACAGGGACTAGAAGCTATGGGCGGAGTTTTGACGAATATTAAAGAAGGAATTAAAAAAATTTGGGGGGCTCGTCTTGTTTCGAGGTCCTGGAAGATGTTCTGTAAGTCTAAGGGTAGAAAAGAAATAGTTTTTGCCAAAGATATCCACATTAGATGGAATAGTACATACAAATTGATTCACCAGATTCTAAAATATATAAAGAAGAACTTGCTGAATTTTTTAGAGATGAACTTCGTATAATCATTGATCCTTTTGAATTTGTTATTGTTGAAAAATTGAATGCCGTATTAGAAGTTTTTAATAACGCAACTCTTACTTTTTCTCATGTTTACCAACCAACTACAAATACATTTTTAAAAGATTGCGTTACAATCGCAACATGTTTTTGTGAAAGTAAGGCTGATCCAGAATTGTACCCATATGTCGCTCCTATGATACAAAAATGGTGTGCTTATTATTTGTACATTCCTGATATTTATAAAATAGGTATTATTTGTGATCCACGCTTTAAGATTGAAAATTATAAAATTTTAATTAAGTATTACTACAGTTGTTTTTTAGATGAAAATAGTTATTACTACAGTTATTTAGTAGAATGGAAAAAAGAAAGAGATAATGCTGTAACTTTTTTTGAGAATTTGTTTGAGTAAGCTTGCACAACGAGCTTGCACAACGAGCTTGCTATGTACCAGGGTGTGCCATGCGATTACGACGACGACGACGTGGATTTTGATGTGCTCGGATGGTGGAAGCGGAACGAACACATGTTCCCATGTCTCGGCATGCTAGCAAGACAAGTGTTATCCGTTCCGGTATCAACCGTAGCAGTTGAACGAGAATTCAGTGCTAGCGGCAACATTCTAACCGACTTTCGAAGCTGTCTTAGCGCTGAATCTATTGAAACACTGGTTTGTAACCAAGATTGGCTCTTGACAAGACGTCGAGCTCAAGAGTCATCGTACCTACTCGAATCGGAGCATTACATGAATGCAACAACAGATGGAAGTCCGAGTTCTGAAGAATAAGTTACAATTTTTTTATGTTAATGTAGAATTGTAGATATGTAATTAGTTTTTTTAGGTGAGCGATATATAAGCTCCTTCGAGGGTTTCTTTACGGTTCTTTACCTCGTCGCTTTTTTTGAACCGTCAGGATATTAAATGTGGTTGTTCTTCAGTTAGTGTATTATTCATTTAAAATATTTAAATAACAACTACATTTTTAGATTTTTTATTTCATTCTTTCCTTAAACAATTGCAAATTTACAATTTTATACTTTAAAAANATTAGTTTTTTTAGGTGAGCGATATATAAGCTCCTTCGAGGGTTTCTTTACGGTTCTTTACCTCGTCGCTTTTTTTGAACCGTCAGGATATTAAATGTGGTTGTTCTTCAGTTAGTGTATTATTCATTTAAAATATTTAAATAACAACTACATTTTTAGATTTTTTATTTCATTCTTTCCTTAAACAATTGCAAATTTACAATTTTATACTTTAAAAATTTTAAAAAAAGAAAAAAAAAGGAGGGGGCCGAAACCGGCCGGTCCGGTACCGGAACCGCCGGTCCCGGAACCGGAACCGGTACCGGCCGGCACGGTGACGGTTCCGGTGACATGGGGTGGCGGTACCGGAACCGGCGGTTCCGGAACCGGAACCGTACCGGATTCGTACCGTGTCCACCCCTATTTGGGGTACACCTTTTGGTGTACCCCTAGCATTACTCAAAGAAAAAACTTAAAAAACATCCATACATATTATAGTTTAGGCAATATTGAGATTGTTCAATGTATAAACAATAACTACCTACCATAATGGTCTCATCCAAAAGTTCAATGTTTTTGAGATATTTTCACTCTTAGATTACTAATAGAATTCACCCCACACATCATTTCATATATGGAATAACTTAACAATCCAAGATTTATAAATTTCAATGAATCAAAACTGTGATTTTTCATTCATCGTCATCTTCTTCGTCAAACTAAGCTACCATGAAGCCCACAAAAATGGCGGCGCACGGCGGCAAGAACACCTCCCCCACCACGACAATGGCTGCCCTGTTTCTTCTCTTTTTACTCGCCTTCCTCTGTTTCTCCACCCGGACTCCCATCTCCCCTGTTTTCCCCCAAAATCACCATAACAGCCAACGGGAAACCCAATTACTCCCAGCAGCGCCGCCGCGGGATCGGCTGGAAGAAGCTCTGGGCAGGGCGGCCACGGCGGGAACGAAGACGGTGATCATAACGATTATCAACAAGGCGTACGTGGATCCGGTCTCCGGCGAGCCGCCGTCGATGCTGGACCTCTTCCTCGAGGGGTTCTGGGAGGGAGAAGGGACGAGGGAGCTGGTGGACCACTTGCTGGTGGTCGCCATGGACGACGCCGCCTACCAGCGCTGCCTTTTCCGGCGGCTGCATTGCTACGGGCCGATCACGACGGCGGAGGAAGGCGGCGTGGATTTCTCCGGCGAGAAGGTTTTCATGTCCAAGGACTTTATCAATATGATGTGGAGACGGACTCTGTTCCTGTTGGATGTTCTCAAACATGGTTACAACTTCATCTTCTCGGTAATATATATACTTCCCATTTAATTTTTCCTTATGAAATATTTGCACGAAATTGCACTAAAACTTAAGTCATTTCCCTAAATAGTACTTAAATTGTTTTATTTTCTAAATAGCACTTAATAATGTCCAGTGTTGGCAAATATTTACTTAAATAATGATTAATGCATAATGACTAAAAGTGCTACATTGGGAAGAAAAGCACATGAGGTGCTATTTAGATAAAGTCATTATGTTTTAGTGCTATTTAAGTAAATTCCCCTTTTTTTATTTCATTATGTGAATTCTATTAAATAACACTAAAACACATGTCTTTTTCTAATGTATCATTTAAACTTTTTTATTTTCTAAAAAATACTTGAATAATGTCTAGTGGCGGGAACAGTGTCAAGTGAGGGTGGACATTTAGTTTGAACAATGTTCAACAGTGGCGGTGGACATTGAACAGTGGGAATACATTGGAAAATAAAAACATATGCTACTCCATACTACATTGAGAAAGTCCCTATTTAGATAAATTCTCCGTCCATTTTCCAGTCTTGTACACATTAACACTTTAATTATTAAAATTTCTAACACAATATTTCTAATCAACTTTTAGTATTATTGACTCGATTGTAATATATTCCGTAATATTTGTAATATGTTCATATTATTCTCAATCTAATGATGCACAATGAGTCAATTTTTCTAGATCCCTAATACTCGAACATGGGTGAGTTAAGAGCTTCCCTATTAATTTTGAGTGAGCTTCCTACCATTCAAGCCAAGAGAGGAGTTATATCTTTGATCGACTTTATTTCTTCATAAAACATTTTTGGTCAAGAATGGGTGAATGCCGACCCAGAAATAGAATCAAATGGAAAAAAGTTGAAAAATTAAAATTGGGATGAAGTGAAGAAATTACCAACAAAAAGGAATAAAACATATTCATCATCTCAATATAGGATTTTTATAATTTTGTCCCAAAGTAGGAATTTGTCCTCTGAAAGCGAGAGGTTAGACTGAAGTCTAAAGTCCAAAAATTAAAGTTAAAGTTAAAAGAATCCCTTAGAATATCATTACTCATTTACTCTTATATAAGTGTATGCCTTTACTAATAATTCTTAATTAGTGTGTCTTTTGTTTGTAGGACACAGACATAATTTGGTTAAGGAATCCATTCACAAAGCTGAGTAGCAACACAACAGAAGATTTGCAAATAAGCACAGACATTTTCACAGGGGACCCTTGGTCAACTGCAAATCCGATTAACACGGGGTTTTACTACGTAAGATCAAATCCCAAAACCCTCAAGCTCTTCGAAACATGGTATGAGATGAGGGAGAAATACCCACCTCAAATGAAAGAGCAAGACATCTTGGCGATCATGAAAAGAGGTGGTCCTAGATACTATCTCAAGAAATATGATTATAGTTCTTCGAATTTAATATTGGGCAAATGGATAATCGAATCATTTTACACCTTAAACACCACAGCTTGTTGGGTAGAACGTCAACTCAAACAACCGAGTAAGCCTTTGGGGATGGACTTCTTATAGACAACTAAGTTAAAGAATCACGGGTCGCTAGGACTGGACTACTTCTATGCATACATACCACATTGATGTTTTTCGTGACATCGATCAACACGTTGGAGGTTAGTTAGGGTAGAGAAAGAAACAACTTTTTCCACTAACATCATGATAGACTTTAAGTTTGGACAATGATAATCATTTGAATCACTAAATACTTTGGTCAAATTATAAAATAAAATAAATTTAATCGATTAAAGAGTTCAACTTTATATCTGATATGATTAACCTTTTCCATTTGGGATATTACTCAAACACATTACAACATACGACATAGTATATTACTCTAATACATTATGGAGTAATATACATTCAGCATATGAAGCGAGGTTTCTTTTTTACACCAAGGATTGTTATCATAATATGAGACCAAACTATTTTAAGGCACTACAATATTGTATTTTACACCGAGGTGGTTCATACCCACATAACACCGCTACAGATCTTCTAATTCCCTATGTTTTGCTGTTATGCTACATTATTAAAGCCTAACGATAAATCTAGGGAGGTTGGGGGTTAGGCCTGTAGTGAGGATCAGAGTCAAACATAGCAGTGTAAGATCTTCAAATGGTCGAGTATCATATTATGACTCATAGGTAGTGTCAAAAGAACCTTGCTCCGATATATGATAGAATTGTAATTCTATTCTATTTTTAAACATATTATCTAACAGGTGGGATTTTCAAGGAGATGGGGCTGCTCGTTCGGTACTTGGACGTCACACACTTCAACGGCTTCTGCACGAATAACAGGGATGTGGCAGTAGTGGCAACTGTCCATGCCAATTGTTGCAGAGGCATCACCGCCAAGGTTGCCGATCTCAAAAGTGTTCTCCAAGATTGGAAGTTTTATAAGAAATCTAGAGGGAACCCTGTAGATTTCCGGTGGTCTGAACATGTTTTTTGTAAGAATTCTTGGGGGCCTACTTCGAGTAAGAGCAAGACTACATAGTTTGGGATATATAGTTATATGGATAATGTTTAGGGTACTTCTTGTACCCACCACACCTTTCATCTCACCTTTTATAAATATATTGAGATATTTGTTATAAGGTTGTGATGGAAGGTGGAGTGAACGTTTGGGCAACTTAAGCGTTTTCCTAAATATTGAGTATTTTAGGAAAAGTTCTTGAATCATTTAATTCCACGTGAAAAGATTAATGCACAAACTATGTAGAATACATATATGAAATAAGGTACGTGAGAGGAAGAAAGTTGGCTACCACAGAATGTTAACTTTTCTCAATATTGATAGGATGTTAGTTTTTTGTATCATCAACTCTATTAAAATGTAATATCTATACTTTGGGTGTCTATACTTTATGAACTTGCTAAAGAAAAGAGGGTTAATGCCCTTGATGGCGTTCGAACTTGTAACCTCATGTTTGGAAGAGCCACAATTATGTCATTCTTCGACATAATTGTGAGTGCACTTACAAGACTAAAACGAGTATTAAGTCATTTTTCATTCCAACAATGCATTGGCCCAAATCCACCTAGAGCGGTGCAACTTGCAAGTCCGCCGGCTGGTAAAATAAAAAAAATAAAAAAGAAAAAAAAGAAGAGAGAAGAAAGAATCTCAACTCCCGGCCTCGCACGGCGCACTTTAGCCGCCCCCACCACCCTTAGCGGCGGTCCGATCCGTCTAGATCTCCACATGAGTCGCGGCAGCAGCCCCCCCACCCTTCTCTTTAAACCTAACCCTATTTCAATTCATTCATTATGCCACCGCCCGCCGCCGTCGGATCTCTTTCACATCTCTCGTTGTACTTTTCTAGTTTTCGTTCTCGCCGATGGCCTCGTCTTCGTCCCCATCCTTCTCCGCCACTCCGCCGGAGAATTCCACGGCCGTCGTCACCGTCGCCGCTTCCTCCTCCTCTCGCCGCCTCCCTCTGCCGTGTTGGTCCCACGAGGAGAGTGTAGCGCTCATCGATGCCTACCAGACAAATGGTACTCCCTCCGCCGCGGTAATCTCCGGGCCAACCACTGGCAGGAGGTCGCCGATGATGTCGCCGTTAGATGCCCGGTCAATTCGCCGAAGACCACCGTGCAGTGTCGTCACAAGATGGAGAAGCTCAGGAAAAGGTATCGCACCGAGATCCAACGCGCGGCCCCTTACGGCGGCCTTCGCTCCCAACGCTATTGCTCCTCCTGGGTTCTGTTCAAGCTTATGGGTTCCATGGAATGAGGCCCTGATGCCGAATCTCCTCCTCCAGGGGACGAAGAACTCGAGGATGATGCTGAGGATTTGAAGCAAAATACTGTCAAACACCTTGCAGGCGATATGTACAGCCCGAACCATCTGACTTCCAACAAGAGAACCAACTTTCAAGGTCCCATGACTAATGGAGGAACTGGTGTTTGGATTCGAATTCCCACACTACCCGTGATTGGAAAATTCGATGAAATATCACCAGAAAACCCTAACCCTAACCCTACATTTGGGTCTAGTAGCAGGATGGTGTCTAAAGGGGATCGTTTCGCAAATAGGTCTGCAGATTTTGGGAGGAAGAGGGAAGAACAGGTGGGAGAAAATAGGAAGGGAGACCCAATTGCTGAGATGGTGACAACAATTAAGTCACTTTGGGATGGGTTTCTCAAGATGGAGAGGATGAAAATGGATTTGGCCAGGGAGTTGGAAGACATGAAGATGGAAATGGAGATGAAGAGGACCGAAATGATTCTTGAATCACAACAGAGGATTGTTGAAGCTTTTGCCAATGCTCTCTCTGAGAGGAATCACAAGAAGATGACTACGCCAGAATGTGAGATGGGCCATAATTGATTGACTCACGACATCCATTTTCATTGAAGCTTACAAGATGCCTTTATTTATCTCTCAAGGGAATTGGCTATGCTGCTGTTTTCTCCTGGGAAAATACAAGTAGAGAAACAAAAATGAAAGTTTAAGATGGTCCCCTTTCATACACTAAAAAAAGACTCAATGAGCCAGAAGCCGAAAGGTGAACAAGTTTCCAGGTTCATTTCTATTTAAGTTTCTATAGCAGCCTAACAATACAATAAAGCAGAAAGGCACAGACTTTCTCCCATAATGTGCATTTAAGAGGCATAGAAAGTCAACATTTTTCAATATTGCACAACTTTCTTCAAAGCAATTCTTGTTGCACTTGCAGTGTTTTCCACATCAAATTCTTTATCAATGTTTATAAAAATACCTTCTAGTTGGGCAGCTAGAATTAGATCGTTTCATCATCGTCTTAAAGTCTTATGAAGAGGGAAATTGATAAAAATACCCAATTATAGAAGTTATTGACTATGCATGAAACCATTTATCTTTATCTTTCCATATTTTTAATAGGGAATCATAAGAAAATATAACAAAACTAAAAAAAGGCCACAACATCAACTAAAAATCAGTTCTTGATTCCATATTTCCATTACCTTGTGGGATCTAAACCAGCATGGAGAGCAAGTTTGAGTTGATTTCCACTAACTAAGACTGCCCCCCATCCGATCTTCCTCAAATGCTCCAAAGATTTCAAATTGTTGTTGGCCTTAATAGCACACCCGACAATCGAATCCAACCCTTACAAAGCCTCTTTATATGCCTCAACATTTCTAGTAATCTGAGGCTTGCTGTACGGATAAAAAGGCCACATAATTAGTAATCCGGTAAAATCTACGTACATGAGATCTGCGATCTGACCAGAATGGTCAAGGATTTCACACACGTTGAGCGGGACCTTTTTTGAGAAGTGATTGGTTCAGGACTCTGAATGATGTAGATGAACAAGCCTTGAGCTAGAGGAATTTATGAGCCTAGAATGGTAATGTAAATTGAGGTATAGCCTTAGTCTAGATAAGACTATGAGCTTTAGTTGTAATTGTGTATTATGAGTGTAAAATGATTGAGAAACATGAATGATTTGTAAAAATACATTGTTTTTTAGTAGCTTTCAGACCCAATAGTGTAGTATCTGTCCAATCTTATAATTTCAATCTTTTAAACACATAGGTGGGACTCTAACTCTAGATGTGGAAAGTTTGGGGTGACTTTTTTGCCACTACGTCAACATGCTTAACATGCCAACTACATTGTGAATTATCTTGTGTCATAGTTGCATGTGAAGCATGCTATAACATAAATTATTTGTTGGAATAAATGCCATATTTCTTGATAATAAACACTTCTCCGTCTCATAAATTTTTTTAAAGACAAAAAAAGCATGCCTTAAAAGTGTGTAATTTAGAAATTATTTTTTAATTTTATTCTTACTTTATAATAAAGTAGGATATGATGTGTAGAGTAGATAAGTCATAATTAGAAAATAATATTAAAATTACATATTTTTAAGACATGTCTTTTTTTCGTCTTTGTAAAGTTTTATAGAACGGAGAAAATATGTTAATTGGGGGTAATGTGGCAGCCATGTGAATGTATAGGTGCGTATTTAATTGTGGTATGTTTGAATTGCGAATTGTGGTTGATATGTGAGCAAGTCGAGGTGTTGCATGATATCGATGTATAAATATTTAATTGTGGTATGTTTGAATTGGCAATCGTTATCGAACCGCACAACGTCAATTCTGAGCATGTAGTCTTGTAATTGTCTACGTGTGGGTATGAAATGAGAATCATATGACTTGATCCAGAAGATGACGGGATGATAAGATCACACGTTGTCATGCACGATTATAACGAATATTGTTTCTGCATCGTCGAGTTGTTTTGGGTGTGACTCAAGTTATTCAGTGATATATTGTTCAACTTCTGCATTTGAAAAAAAATGTTTTAAAGGAACAATCTGTTGAATAAGGTTTTGGAATTTGATGCCTTTTGGTTTAATTTGGTTGGGTTAGAAATGTTTGGAAAAGTTATTCATGCTTCACCTTAATACCAATAACTCCAAATTATACGAGTTAGGGTGCTATAATCAACTTTACATGAGCTCTCGAAAAAAGTAAAATTTATGCAAAAATGGTCACAAAGTATTTCACAAAGTATTTCACGTTGTTGGCGGTACATATGGTATCTCAGCTCAAAGTCCCAAAATGGTTTAATTACTAATGTGTGTGGATCAAGAAACGAAAATGTGGCCCATACTTGTATAAGGATTACTCACACATTCACTAGAAATATATTCTCAATGGACGAATGAGTCCACTTTTCTTAGAAATTAAAACATGATTTATGTTTTTAATTAACACTTTGAATAAAATTTTAATGAAGTATCTTCACTTTAAAAATATTTAAACCAAACGTTGTCGTTAAATAGTCTGAGTGGTATCACAAAAATCCACTCAACTATTCTTTTTTTTTTCTTTTTTTTTTGTTGAGAAAAGTGCCTCTATCTTTTATTTTGTTTCCATTACCCCTCTGAATTTTCTAAAATGTTCAAGAAATGTTACTTAGTTTTTCTTTATTTCTATAATACCATTGAACTTTCTAAAATATTCAAAAGTGACACTCAACTTTTAAAAAAAGACACAATTATATGCTCTTGTTTTTTTAAATAATTTTTTAAAAAGATTTTCTTTTCATTTCTCAATAAGTTTGTTACTTTTAAATTTTTCTACTCACAAATAGTACTCCGTCCTATAGTAAAATAACTTTGTAAAATATGACAATGTATAAGTTAAACATCCGTCGGGAAAAAGATTCCATTTAAAAAAAAACTTTTTCTATCTTACAAACTTGACAAAATATAAGTTAAACACGAAAACAAGAGTTTTTAAGGAAAAAAATTTGTTAGATAAAACAAAACTTTTTTAGTAAAAAAAGTTTTTCTTTTGCGGTGGAGGCAATATTTTTATTAATTAAAAATGACAAAAAATATCATACTCCATACATTACTCTACCGTGTTTTGAGAAAAATAATTTTATAATTAAAATAATATTTGTGTGTGGCTTAAAATTGACAAGAAACATATCTGTTGAGAAATAATAAGAAAATATTGGGGAAAAAATATAGAATTAAAAAGAAATATTTTATCTGTTAAAAGGAATTGTGATTATTTAAAAAATTGAGTGGCTATTTTGAATATTTTAAAGAGTTCAATGACATTATTTACAGAAAGAACAAGAGATTGACATTTTTTGAACCTCTTAGAGAATTTTGAAACTTTATTAAAAGAAAAATAAAATACAGTGAATTTTTGATAAAAAAATAATTCAATAGGATTTTTTGAGAACACTCTTATGACCCATTTTGTGAGTTTTGGAGATATGATAAGATATAAGTTATGAAATCTAGGAGAAATGATTTGAGTTTTAAAATATGAACGAATTTGTTTGAAGAGATTTAAAATTAAGATTTAGTTAGTGATAAGCAGGGGTGACCGGCAACACCGGTGGTTGGCGGTGACAATGGTAACCAGTGACTGAAAATGATCAATGGTTGAGAGAGATATCAAACTCCATATTGATATCTACCAAATTTGGAAAATATCAAAACTTTTCATTTAAAGAATTTATGATATCCGGAAATATCGAATTCGATATCTTTTTTTAACTTAACCATTCAACACAAAAAAAATTCTGATTTCTGGAAATATCAAAACCCATATATATGTTCTTAAATACTTTTATTCAAAAGACTAAACTTTAACCCTATCATCGAATAGGCTCAAAAACCCTTCCACAACTTTGTTTGCCATCTTGTGGGTAAATTTCACCAATGATACCTGAACTTTAGCTGGAATTTCGAAGTGGTACCTGAACTTCAAATCCTTTTACAAAAATCCCTGAATTTACACAATCCTTTCACTAATGAGCCATTAGCCCGTTTCTAGGTTAACTTCCGGTCATTAGGGCCAAATTCGAATTTTATATATTTTAAAATTTTCAATTTGACCCCATTTCTTCTTTTCTTTTCTTTCAGGCCCCGCCGCCGCCGCCCGCCGGTCAAAGTCGCCGGAAAATGGACTTTTTCCGATTCCCGGCGGGTCGGAGCGTTTTCCGGCCAACTCCGGCGAAATTAACGGCGGGCACCAACTCCAATGCGGTCGTGGCATCCGGGCGACCTCCAAGGACCCCTCAATTTCAAGATTTGATGACGATTTGCAAAACCCCCCATTTTGGACCCAATTTCGATTTTAGGGTTTTTTCGAGTAGAAAAATTCAGATTCGAGAAGTTACAAGCAAAATTAGACAAAATGGTTTGGATATTATTGATCCTCGTCTCAAGACGAAGAGAATGACATTGGTCCCTCCGGAATCGGAAAAAGTTCATTTTCCGGCGACTTTGACCGGCGGGCGGCGGCGGCGGGGCCTGGAAGAAAAGAAAAGAAGAAATGGGGTCAAATTGAAAATTTTAAAATATATAAAATTCGAATTTGGCCCTAATGACCGGAAGTTAACCTAGAAACGGGCTAATGGCTCATTAGTGAAAGGATTGTGTAAGTTCAGGGATTTTTATGAAAGGATTTGAAGTTCAGGTACCACTTCGAAATTCCAGCTAAAGTTCAGGTAGGTGAAATTTACCAGCCATCTTGATACCCTGTAAAAATCTCGATTTTAAAGGCCTGCGAAATACCCTCGTGTGCGGGTTCTCTAGCAAGCTAAAAGGTTTTCTTTTTGGGCTTGACTCAATCTCTCATCAGGCATGGCGGTTCTTGCTCTTCCATTGGTGACTGCGATTTTTAGACCTCGTAATCGCCGTTTCTCTTTTTTCATCGCCGCCGTGCCGTCCGCTCATCTCCTCCCAGGCCGGCGTTTTTTCTCCAGGAATCACTCTATCTCGGCTCTGAACACCCATTCAGCGTCCCACAAGAAGTCAGCTGGCCCCGATTCTGAGAATCAGAAGAAGTCACGCGCCCCCACTTTTCAACAAGCCATTCAGCGCCTCCAGGTTAGAAGCTCTGTTAATCCTCTGCTCTCTTGATATGCTATTCCTTTTATTGAATTCATGATGTGGCAGGAGAAGGAATGGTGAGGTAACCAACAGTTTTTTTTTTTTCAATTAAGAAATTGATTTGTGATTTTCATCCAGATGGATATCATGAAAGCGAACCGTGGTAAGGTTATAATGTAGTAATGTAATGTGGAAAACAATCGCTACCAAGATGTTCTAGCTTACATTTGGTATAAGCGAAATATTTATAATTTTAGTAACTTATGCGGAGGTGGAATCTTTTTGTGCGAAGGATGATGAACTTTGAACGAGAGGTTTTTCCATTTGAAAATATATTGATATCTAAAGTACGTCATTTTTAGATCATTTGATTTATAAAGCTTTATCTTATGCAAGACTGAATCTTTTTACCCCGATTAGGCTAACATATGAAACATATGAAAATAAAAGGATGAATGTGATATATCATATATGTTAGGACCATGTCTTAAATACAAGAATTGGTATCACACTATTTTCTATTCCTCAACCTTGAAATGCACCCACAAACGACCTATTTCCCTACTTAAATAATTAATGATAAACCCCGAGCCGTATTCTTGATTAAATAGTTGATTTAAAAAACATGTAGCATACAGAAAATTTTTCATCAAACACGATTAAAAAGTCTAAAATGAATAGTAAGGCTTGACTTTGCAAGAACATACTATTGAAGACAATCAAACTACTTAGTCACACCACAATGGTTTGAGAAGAGATTATCAAGACTCAGTTGAGAAAGAAAGTGAGCATTTCTATGAATCAGTTTGGTTTCATACTTTCATGCCACCTCTCGAGGAGTCTGATAGAACATGATAAGGACAAAAAAGGGACCTTCACATGGTGTTCATTGATTTGTAGAAGGATTAGGACATGATTTATACAGAGATCTTATGGAGGTTCCCATTTAATGTAGGGACATTTATGATAGGGCATGAACCAGTGTGAGGTCGTTACGTGGCAACTCTGACCAGGTATAAGTGGAGATGAGGTAACATCAAGGGTGTGCTTAGTCCTTTTGCTTTGGTGATGGATGTTTTGACGTGGCATATTTTGTGGAGGTACCTTGGTGCTTGTTTTTTATCGATGACAATGTTCTAACTGACAAGACACAAGAGATACTCAATGATTGGTTAGAAGTGTGGAGATAGACCTTGGAGTGTTGCTTCATTGCCAGAGCGAGTGAGTCGAAAGTGGTACCTTAGATCCATCATTCAAGCCAATGGGAGGGGGGGTGGGGAGATGGGGGTGCTTCCCATCATATCGATGTTGCTTGGGCAAAGTGGAAGCTAAGACGAGTGAGTCAAAAGTGGAAGCGAGTACATTGGATCCATCATTAGAGGTAAAAGGGAATGCTTCCCATGATCCCATGATTCCCATCATATCGGTGTTGCTTGGGCAAAGTAGAAGCTTGCTTCAAGTTCCCCTTGCGATAAGATGATTTCAACGAACAAAAAAGGGAGGTTTTATCAAATAATGGTTAGACCGACTATGCTATATGGAGCAGTAGAGCACAATGATGGGCGGTGAAAGATGCTCATGTTTGGAGGCTATGAGTAGCACCGATGATGTGCGGTCATGTAAGGATGGATAAGATCCAAATTGAGGATATTCATGGGAGGGTGGGTGTGGCCTTGATGGAGGATAAGCTGCAGGAAGCTAGATTGACCTGGTTTGAACACGTACTGAGGAGAAGTATGGATGACCCTGTTAGGGGTAAACCGGGGGTCTTATCAAGTTGATAATTTAGTGGCGGATGTGCGGAGGAAAATGGAAGGGAAATAGTGGGCGAAAGTATGGAGGGTGTTTTAGGAGTTCTTTTTTGGTATTTTATGGAAGAAAAAGAATAGGATTAAGAAGGAGAAATGGAGGGATATGAAATGGAAGAAATATCACGGATGGATAAAACCAAGTTGGTGTTAGGAGATATTACACACTCTTATCCTAACTTGGGGTTTGAATCTAGAATTCAATTAAGATATTACACACTTAATCAAATATCTAGAACCTAAAACTCACACTTAAGATAACCACTCTTAAGATATAGAATTAGGAATTTGGCTAAAATAGCATCACACTATTTTAATAATACTCAAAGAGTAATGGTTTTCAATATTCAAAGATGTGTTACAATGGCCATAAGGCCTGATTATATATAGGCAAGGGAAGGGGGAAGAAATACACAATACATTGAATGTAGACATAAGGACACTTCCTGTCTTCTTCTCCTAAATCAATAGCATGACCTCCACTTGTTGTTGTCCCTTTGGTGGGTAGAAAATCAGGGATAAGTTGTACTTGTGTGGATGGTGTTTTGGCCAGTAGTGAATGGTAAGGATAGGTGAAT